TTTTACAAAATACCCTACTGGCGTCCCAAGTAGGTCACCTATATATCCCATCAGCGTCCTGATGGGTCCACTTAATCCCTATCGGCGTCCCAAATAGGTCCACTTAATCCCTGCAGGTCCACTTATACCTCACCGGCATACCGGATGAGTCCACTTAATCCCTACCGGCGTCCCAGATAGGTCCACTTATACCTCACCGGCGAACCGGATGAGTCTACTTGCATACTTAAATTATTTCTAAATCTCTTTAAACATTCGAAAGCAGCAATATCATGTACTCAACATATCACTGAAATCATTAATATGAATTTCACTTAAACCATTAATAACAGCCACTCTCTATAACATTTCAAACATAACCAATCAAATATTTTGGGCTCAAATTTAGAAAGGTAGCAGTTTGTAAAGGCATTCTAGCATAATTGCCAATTTAATATGTATAGAAAAACTCTTATAGAAATTCAAGAATATGGAATTATCACAATTTATGAGATATCAATTCACAAATAAACATTTCACAACAATACTATAATCAATTGCAAAAATGTCAATTTTTAAATAATAAGGCAGTCATTTGCACATGAATTTTACAATGTCTAAATATTCAAAACAGAAGAAAGAAATATCACAATTTTACTAAAAGCAGAAATATCACATTTATTTCTAACAATAGACAAGAAAAATAAATAAATTTATTTTTCTAATTTACAACATTCAAAATTTCTAACATAGATAAAATATCACAATTTTTTATTAAAAAGATTATTTTTCAAGATAATGAGGTCACGTGCGCATAAAATTTATCGCGCCTAAAATTCATAATAATAAGCAGAAATAATTATTTCATTTTATTTTTAAAAAGATTGGATTATTTTTCGAGACAATGAGGTCACTTACACACAAAACTTATAAAATAAAGATCCTAGACGGAAATATCACTATTTATTAAAAACAGACTATTTTTCAGGAAGACGATGTCACTTACACACAAAACTTATAAAATAAAGATCCTGGACGGAAATATCACTATTTATTAAAAACAGACTATTTTTAAGGAAGACGATGTCACTTACCTACAAATATTTGAGAGGGAACTTCGATAAAATTTGGCTAGAGAGAGAGAGAGATCTCAAAATTTTCTAGGGTAGGAGTGCTCACCTCCCCTATTTAAATTCTTAGAACATATTATTATAATATTTTATTACGCTCTACCTCATACCTAAGGTGTCGCGTTAAGCGTCTGTTTTTAATATACGAAAACCACGTCCGCTAAAGGACGTTGCTAGCTGCAAGCAGCAAGCAAAAGCAAGTAAGCAAAAGCAGGCAAGCAAAAGCAGGCAAGCAAAAGTTAACCAAGTAAAACTTTTTGAAAATAGTGATGGTCCCCAAGGACCATCATACTCAAACAGACCATCACCTATTAAAAGCATCTTTTCTCTTTCTTTTTTTTTTTTTTTTCTTTTTTTTTTTTTTGAAATTTTTGGATTGTTACAGTTCAAAATAAATGTTAGGCCATTATAACTTGTAAGGGTTTCTAACACCTTAACTATGTATTTTAGCATGATTTATAGGTGCACCTTATTGTTTATATTGAGATCTTATACAAGCCTCACCCTTCACACATTTCAAAATTGCACTAAGCAACTAGATCCATCACCAAAAAAATCTTGTGATGGCCTATAAATCTGCTTCCACCAAATAACCAATGATATATTTAAATTTTCAATAATCTTATTCAGTTGGCTATATGTATAGAGTTGAGGGTCTAAACAATCAAAGTAGAGCACACCTTCAAATATCGTTGAGAAAAGCGGTTTCAGTATTTGAAATCTTTGTGATAGCCTTAATATATATTTTCATCTCTAATTATAAAATTTAAAATTTAAAAAATAGTGTAGATCGAGCAGATTTTGAAAACTTGAAAATCTAGAAAATTCACGGTCCAAGGATGCATTACAATATGCACTATTTCCAAAAATTAAAACCCATTTTTTTCTCATGTCCATGCATCTTGATGCCGAGATGATCAAAGCTCATTTTGGGGGTTTTTTTAGTTATTCAATGAATATTATTCACTCACCTATAGGGGCAATCTTGCTAATAGAAATCTCTTTTTCAATAGGGTGCAGTTTGTATAGAGTCGAGGTTCTAAACAATCAAAATTAAGCGCACATTCCAATAGTATCGAGAAATATGGTGTTAATATTGAAATCTTTGTGAAAGCCTTAAAATATGTTGTCATCTCTAACAATAAAATTTAAAGCCTAAAAAATAGTGTAGAATATGAAAATTTGAAAAGCTTGAAATTTGATGGTCCAACAATATGTTACAAGATGCACTATTTCCAAAACTTGAAATTGTTTTTTTTTTCATGTCAATGCATCTTAATGTTGAGATTATCAATTTGAGGATATTTGGACATCGAAACAACTTTTTCTAGTGAAATTTTTGAGGTGCACTCAGACTTGATTGTTTAGAGCTTCGGCTCTATATAATATGCACCCAATTTTAGTGATTATCATGGGCCAAGCGGCTCAGCCCTAAAAGAGTAGGGTCTGGGCCACGAGCTGTGGCCCTGGGGCTGGGCTACGGCTAGTGCCGGGCCGGCCCTAAAAAAATAGGGCTTGTGGTACAAACTGTTGCTTGGGAGCTAGGTTAGGGCCAGTGACTTAGACCGCCAAGCCCTCCTTTTTTTTTTTCTTATTTTTTCTTTTATTATTTTATTTATTTATTTTTGGCCTGTTCTGGCCCTACGTGGGCCAGCTTTACGGGCACAAGCCAAGCCAATGCCCAAATAGAGAAGTACCCCTCAAATGAAGTTTAATTATAAAAGAGAGGCACAATTTTGACATGGAAGGATAGGAGAAAATTATATTAGCATTCTTTGAGATGAGAAGCCATCACATTGAAGAGAGAGAGAGAGAAGGGCTTGGTCCAACCATGTGTCTGAAAACTCCATTCAGTGGGGTCGATAGTTTACCCAAAGATCCATATTAGATTAGTGATTCGGATTAGATTTGGATTGGTATGTATTGATGATTCAACAAATATTTAAAAATACATAAAATAAAGTAAAATTTAAAATAAAAATTTATATGGTGGGGATTCACAGGATATAAGAAACATTAGATAAGCTGAAAAAACAAAAAAAGAAAATACAAGGGGGTTTGAGGGGGGAACTAAGCCAGGAACCATATCATCTTGATACTGGTACCGTCCTGACTGATTCTCATCAAATCGACGAACCGGGCTGGGAGTCGCCGGTTTTGATATACTTCCTCTGGTGCAACCTCTCGTTGACAAAGAAGACATCAACCATGACATAGGGTGGGGTTGTCGAAAATACTCCTTATGGGAGAGAGATAGTCATGTGGTAGTGTCTTCAAACAAACGACTTCAAATCAATCTTGCAAGGAAAAAGTTTATATAAGGATGCAACCTTATAATGTAGAACTACAGATGCACCTCCAAAATCAATCGGAAAAAGTAGCTTTAGTGTTGGAAAATCTTTTGATTGATCATCTCGACATGGAGATGTATGACCATGAAAAAAAAACAGATTTTAAGTCTCAGAAATAATGCATTTTACAACATTTTATCTACACCGTCCATTTTCAATATTTTCATATGTTTATAGATCTACTTGATTTTAACCTTAATTTTTATAATTAAATATAAAAATAGATTTTGAGATAATCCTAAAAACAATTTACATCAAAATTATATACCATGATAAAACCTTACCTTTACGCCTACACATGCATGCATATGCGAACTGCACCCTTTTACTATTGCCACCATATTCATTATTTTCTTAAGTTTTTGAAGTACCCAGATCTAAAAACTTCCAATTTTGTGCCGGGACTTCTTTTTGTTTTTCGTTTTTTTTCCCTCGAGTGTGACATATTGGTTCAGAACTTGAAATTTCGTATTTACTATCCGCTCCTAAAATTCGAGGGAAAGACAAAAGAGGTTATTCACTCCATAAAAGAGGCAAGTGAGCTGCTTCCCAACTCTATCTCCCTTAATATATCAAGGACTCGTTCATAACTTCATTTTCGACACCGAGGATATTTTGGAATTTTTTTTTAAAAAAGGAACAAATAAGACATGAACTTAAGATAATATTGGCATTTTTTTTTTTTTCAAGGGTCTAGTTTATAAAAATGTCAATCGGCAAAAAATCAATGTCAGACATACCTCTGAATTTTACTAAAAGATGGAGTAGAATTTCTTATGAAAGCCTAAAAATCAATTTTCATCATTAATTATGACATTTAAAACTCTAAAAATCATGTACATTGAACAAATCTATCGTTATTGTTATTAGAATTTTTTTTCAATTATTTGGGATCGGCTATATAAATCTTGATCCGCCATTTTACTCTATCACATACCATACTCAACGACTCATGTATTTTTTCTTTACTTTCAACGATGTCTGTTTTGGCATATTCTTTGTCTTTTTTTCTGAACGAACTCCCACCTCTAATTGAATAAATCTAAAAAGCTTAAAATTTTAAAAATAGATGACATGGATAAATATGTTACAAAATTCGTATTTCTAGGACCAGGACCCGATTTCTATGCAGCCAAGCCCGCATATGTAGAAATGCAGGCCTATTAATAAATCTATTTTTGAGAAAGATTTTAGGACTTAATTTTTAGGAACATGTAATCTCTAACATGGAGATCATGAATATAAAAAAAAAAAAAAAAATTTAAAAACAAAAATTTTAAGACAATTTTGATATCCATGCATCTCCATAGGAGGGCTATTTTAGTTATTTTATGGAGAACCTCCGACCATCCGATCTCCCCCATCATCGGAAGAGTCGTCGCAACGTACACCACAAACTCCTTCTCTCTCTCTCTCTCTCCTCATTTGTTCACATTCTCTCTGTTCACGTGGTGGAATTCTCTCCCTCTACACTTATTTTATCTCACTAGCCTCCTTTCTCTCTCTACATTTGTCCACAATCTCTCTCACTCCACTGCGCTCCTGCTGATATTTCGCTTCCATCTCATTCTCATTCTCACTCTCACTCTCACTCTCACTCTAGCTCTCTCTCTCGCTCTTCTTTTGTGCACCCTTATTCTCTCTCTAGCCTTCTGTCTCTCTCTTCACTTGTTCACGTTCCCTCCCCACCGTTGATAAACACACATTCTCTCTCTTAATCACTCTCTTTCTCTCTCATATTCCTTCATCCAACATTCCCTCTCTTCTTGATTAATTTCCCTATTTCAAACTGACCTCTTTCTCTCTCCTCCTTTTCCCTTTTATAGGTACTCTTGATTGGTCCATTTCAAAGGGATTCAGACCCTTTTATTTTTCTCTCTCCTCTCCTTCCCACTACTATATATAGTGCCACTCTCTCTCACTGTCTCCCTCTGCCGTTGCATTTTCTCACAGATCTGCATTCATTTCACTCTCGTTTTGCAGTGAGAGAGAGCCGCCATGGCTTCAAATGGGAAGTCTCGGTTTTTGCAGGTTTATAACCGTCTCAAGTCAGAGCTTTTGCAGGATCCTGCCTTTGATTTTACTGATGATTCTCAGCATTGGATCGAACGAGTAAGGGGCATATCCCCTCTATTTCGCCTTCCTTTTCCCCCCTTCTTTTTAGAGAGAGAAACTGCTCCTTCCAGTTTCATCATGCTGTTTCGTCCATTTCTTGTTGTTTTTCATTTGAGAGTGAGAGAGAGAGAGAGAGAGAGAGATTTTGTTGTTTCATACCTTCTTTGCCTCCTTTTATTTTAGAGAGAGAAAGCTATCATTTGATGCTAATAACTATAATGTTAGTGGTTATAATATGAATGCTTGTGAAATAAGGTGATTAAATTGCTCCCAATTTATATTCAAATCGTTTTCTCAACTGCTATGAAGGAAGGCAAAAAGAGGATATATTCTATATGATTAAATGATCCATCTCCTTATTTATTGGTGATTTCCTAAGTGTCCGTACTTTTTTTTTCTTACGATACCATTAAATTTAGATCGCTTTTTTCAAGTGACACAAGCATTGTAACAGATATATTCTATATGACTAGATACCCATTTTGTTTATTGATGATTTTCTTTGTGCCTGTATCTTTTTTCTGATAAATGTCATAGTGTCCATATGTAAATCATGGGTATTAAAAAGTGGTGAACAGGGCATGTCTTGTAGAATTGTAAGAGTAGAATATGTCCCCAACTTGCATTTAAATTGTTTGTCTCAAATGCGTGTAAACAGAAGATATTTTCCATGGAATGGAGTACTTATGTCTAATGACCATTTTATTTATTGGTGATTCGATTGTCTAATTCTGTGGGTTAATCTGTGCTCTATAACCAGTGAACAACTTTACACTGCTTTAACAGACACCTCACCGTCTTGTTTTAGTCATCATGTTTGGTTTATGTTTTGGAGGAAGGAAACCTTATATATTTATATATATTGGATGTTGTTCAGCCATCTTATAAATGGAAGTAGAAGGTGATGCTTCTTTGGAATATTCTCCTTAAAACTTTGTATTTATAATTTAATTAATTCTCTTAAAATATCTGATTTTGCTATATGTTTTTCTTTGTATGTCAGATGCTTGACTACAATGTACCTGGAGGTGGGCATGCTCTGGCTTACTAGTATCATTTTGATATACAAACTTGTTTCTGGTCATCTATTCATGACTTGGTTCTAACTTTTGCTGTGTTGTTTTTGTAATTTATGGCTATTAAGTTACTGATGGAGTTATGCAAAATTAAAAGTGTTTATTGTATGCAGGTAAATTGAATCGAGGACTCTCTGTTATTGACAGCTACAAGGTTTTAAAAGAAGGAAAGGAACTCGGTGAACATGAAGAATTTCTCGCATGTGCACTTGGGTGGTGCATTGAATGGGTGGGATAATTAAATCCATTTTCTCGTTTTCTGATAGTGCATTTTATCAGTTCTCTTCAGTTTTTCTTCATCTAATTGTTCTTTTGGTTTGAATCATGTCCATTGGTATCTATGCTTATTTGAATGGATTTAATATTTGCAGCTTCAAGCCTATTTTCTTGTACTTGATGACATAATGGATGGGTCACACACACGGCGTGGACAACCTTGTTGGTTCAGAGTGCCTCAGGTTTATGCTAACTAAATAGTTCGTGCCGTTGTTCTTGTCTGTGTTATTTGGTTTATCTTTCTCCTTAATGTTCAATGTCATCCGTTAAGTATCAGAGCCTCCTATTCAATATCAGATATTGTGGCTCTCAAATTGATATGGAATATCTTCCGATGAAGCTGATAACCCAATAAGTGTGTTTTATTTGGTTTCATTTTTATGTAACAAGGAGTTCAAGGAAAAAACTCTTGAAGTTCAAGATTCAATATATGTTGTAACGTGAGGTGCTTCTTCCATGGTTGTCCCAGCCTCTAATTCTGCCATTCTTGCCATTTAATAGTAGACATGAGCTGTGCCTATGCACACATTCACACACACACACATGCACGGGCACGCGAAATCCCTAATTTATTTATCTATGCAGAAATACATACATACATACATACATGCATGGCACAAAAATACTGATGCAGTGAAAACAAAAAAAAAAATTCATTATTAGTTTTTTTGAGTTTATCTTTTAACTCAAGAATAGGAGGTGCACATGGATAATTAGGTGAGTTTATTTTGTCATGAGTTATGTTGATCAATTGGGTTGGTTAGTTTAGGAGTATAAATAGGATAAGGTTGAGTTATCTTTTCAACAATAGCTTTGGGTAAAATGTGGGGGTTTATCTTTTCAACAATAGGTAAAATGTGGGTGGCACGTGAATTTAAGAGAGAGAAGATAGGGATGAGAGAAAATAGGTTAAGAGAAATAAAATAGGAAAGTCAGTTGTTTATCTACTTTTTGCTTTTTTAGTCTATTTAAATGGATGTTTCCCTTCAGTGTAAGGTAGTGAATGAGCTAATAAAATTTGGTCTCGTGAAGAGATTATTTTGGGGTGGATTCACTTGCAGACCTTAAGAGAGGGCACATTCTCTCAACCTTTTCTTTTTATTTTTCTGGTTTTATTTTCTCCCTGCATCAATCGGTATCAAAGCAAGTTAGGTTCAGAGTTTACAATGCCACCAAAAGCGAATCAAGCTAATCTGCTCCGGCTATGGATGATTGTTGGGGAGAAATTTTGACTAAAGCCCTATAGGATTTTCGAACTGAAGTATGTGAGATGAATCAGGAAATGAATCCAAGGATGCAACGCCTAGAGGATTTTCGAACTGAAGTACGTGAGATGAATTAGGAGATGAATCAGAGGATGCAACAGTTGGATCAGAGGTTGCAGCAATTGGAGAATAACCTTCCTCGCGAAGAAGGTACTAGCAACCACATTAATCTTGCATAAGGAATTCCACGACAAAACCAGGGTGTTGATTTCGAGCGTAACGAAGATTACAGGCCAGATCCGTGTCCTATAAAGTGACCACGAGAAGATTATAGGCTAGATCCGCGTCCTATAGAACGACCACAAGATTTTAGTATTAAAGTCGACCTCCCAGAATTTCATGGTAAGCTCCACATTGAAGGCTTTATTGATTGGTTATGTGCAATTGAAAATTATTTTGAATGGAGTGAATTGCCAGAGGAACGTAAGGTTAAACTTGTTGCTACCAAGTTCCTTGGGTATGTTGCGGCCTGGTGGGAGCAAGTTCAACAATCCCGATTTCGTAGTGGGAAAGGAAAAATTACTGACTGACAAAAGATGAAAAAGAAATTGAAAGAAAATTTTCTTCCTGCGGATCATGAGCAAAGTTTCATTCAAGAACTCCAAAATCTTCAACAGAATGATAAAAAAGTAGAAGATTATACTAAGGAGTTTTATCGATTAGTTGCTCGAAATACCAAGAGACGGAAGGACAAAAGATTGCTAGATATGTAAATGGCTTTCAACCTACCATTAGTGATGAGGTTTTTCTACATCGCCTATGGACTTTAAGTGAAGCTTTTCAACTTGCTTTATGAGTAGAAACGAAATACCAAGGGAGCATCGATAAATGCTTTTACCCCTAGAAAGAGATTTTACGCCAATCGAAATTTAATGAAGAAAAAAAAGATAATGGAAAATTTATGTGTTATCGATGCAACGAACCAAGATATCGTTCGTTTGAATGCCCAAAAAAGTAGATGGAGGTACACTTGACTAAGGAAGAAGAAGAAGCTCCAGAAGATCACATTCAACAAATAAACCTCCATGGTGATGTAGAAGGAGATCCACTTTGAATCAAAAATAGGAGGTGCGCAAGGATAATTAGGTGAGTTTATTTTGTCGTGAGTTGATGTTGATCAATTAAGTTGGTTAGTTTAGTAGTATAAATAAGATAAGGTTAAATCTAAGGGGTTTATCTTTTCAACAATAGCTTTGGGTAAAATGTGGGGGGTTTATCTTTTCAACAATGGGTAAAACGTGGGTGGCACGTGAATTTAAGAGAGAGAAGATAGGGATGAGAGAAAATAGGTTAAGGGAGATAAAATAGAAAGTCAGTTGTTTATCTTTTTTTCGTTTTTTTAGTCTATTTAAATGGACGTTTTCCTTCATTGTAAGGTAGTGAATGAGTTAATAAATTTGGTCTCGTGAAGAGAGATTATTTTGGGGTGGATTCCCTTGCAGACCTTGAGAGAGGGTATATTCTCTCAACCTTTTCTTTTTATTTTTCTGGTTTTATTTTCTCCTAGCATCATATACATACACCCAAGACATGAAATCCTAATCCCCAATACATCTCTTTGTGCATAATCTCATTCATGCATCATACATACAGACATACATGCATTACATATACATACATTCATATGTGTACATGAATAGACAACCGGTATTCATCCTCATATACACCCAAGTGTAAAGACATTTATGGGCACAGGAAAGGCTACCAGGTTTGAGTTGAGGTTCAGGACATAAACTTTCTGCTGCCTTTATCTTGTGGATGGATTCCAGTAGCTATAATGAAATATTTTACTTTTTTATTTGGTTTATTTTTCACCATTAATGCAAGCATTTGCCCCAAATGACTGCTTTTTCTTTCTATTAAGGTCAAATACTCTTTTCCTGTTCCTCTCTTTTATCAAAAGATAGCCCTTTTACTTTGTTTTTCTGGTTGACATGTAATTCACCTACAATAATATTTGATTGTCCTGCATTTACCTTTTAGCTTAATTGTTCTTATTGCTGGCATGTACGGAAACCTGCATTTCTTGTGACCCTGAAATGTTTTGTGTGAATTTCATTTCTCGACTTTCTATGTCTTGAAGCTTAAATTCCCAATGTTAACAGGAACTGTTACTTAGTTGTTTGATATGCTTATGATCACAGGTTGGCATGATTGCTGCTAATGATGGAATTTTGCTTCGTAACCATATTCCTAGAATTCTGAGATTACATTTCAGGGACAAGCCTTACTACGCAGATCTTCTTGATTTATTTAATGAGGTGATTATAATGATAGATAGTGAGTGAACTTTGTTTTATTAACAAACAGCAATAGTGATGATTGAAATGGTTTGTTGTTTCTCTTTATAGGTTGAGTTTCAGACGGCTTCTGGACAGATGCTTGATTTGATTACTACACATGAAGGAGCAAAAGACCTCTCAAAATATAAAATGCCAGTGTATGTGGTTATTTGCTCGAGGTTGTGAAGTATGACATGATATCCTAATTTGTTTTGCCAAAGTGATGAAATTATCCCTTATCAAGATCATAAATTTACAATTCCATCTTTGTTTTTTTTTTATTGGTACTTCTATATTACATGGGAAAGTATACCATGGTCCTATGTCCACTGTCACGTCTCATTTACGGGTGGATGACGGTTCCCTGGAATATGGAGAGTCATGGACCAATGATGCATTCACTGCTGCACAACTTGGATCATTAATCTTGTCCATCTGCTAGTGGGGGCTGATGCTGGATGTAGTCCATTGTGTCATAGTCCAGTGAACTGTGGTGTACTTCCCTTATTTCGTTCCATTGTCCTGAGACTGTTTGATCATGTTTTGTTCTGTTTTATCATATTTTCTCTTCATTTTATATGGTTCCTACTTTTTTGGCTGATGCACTTCAGGAATCTTGATGGTTGTCTTAATCTAGTTATTTTACTTTTCAATGCCCATCCATTTACAATATGGTCCATGGTAATGCAGGTATAAGCGAATTGTTCAGTACAAGACGGCCTATTATTCATTTTATCTTCCTGTGAGTTGAAATGGTTTTTGACTACATATGCTGTATTTATTTATCTTCATGTGAGTTGAAATCGTTTTTTACTACATATGCTGTATTTGTTTATCTTTCTGTGAGTTGAAATGGTTTTTGATTACATATGCTGTATTTGTTTTCCTTTCTTTTCTTTGGCAAATGATTACAACATATCATGTTGTCTACTTCCTGTATTCCCTTGGAAGGGTAGTCATATGATTGTAATGAAATGCTGTAGTTTTGTGAAAATGCGAGGAAAAACATATGATTATAATGAAATGATGTAGTTTTGACATTACTGGGCCTATCTACTCGTTTGAAACTACTTATCCATGTCAGTGTACATAATGCCTTCGCCGTTCATTTACTTTTGGTGAAATCTGAAAATGCAAGTCTTCGTTTTCCTCTTAATGTGGGTGGTGCATGTATGCATGCAAATGGGCGGTGTGGCATGTGGGTACACATGTATGTGTCCACCTCTGCATATGTTGCAAGCCTGTAGGAAAATTCTTGCCATCGGAAAGCTTATACACTTATCATCGTAACGTTCAATAAATCTCAAGAGAACTTTTCCTCTTAATGTGGGTGGTGCATGTATGCATGCAAATGGGCGGTGTGGCATGTGGGTACACATGTATGTGTCCACCTCTGCATATGTTGCAAGCCTGTAAGAAAATTCTTGCCATCGAAAAGGTTATACACTTGTCATCGTAACGTTCAATAAATCTCAAGAGACAAGTTAAAAAATTATGGTTGCAGACATGAGGCATTTATGATAATCTTTTATTGAAAACTTTACAATCAATATTGTATAATGAAAGTTCTGTATATATATCTGGTACATCTTATAACATTTCCATCTGGTATGATCCTATGTCTAGGTATGGACCCCAAAGCTCTCAGAAGTCAAGAATTGGCTAATGTTTACATTCTAAATATTCCTTTTTTTTTTTTGAATCACTCTAAAACTCCTAACATTGAGTTGTGTTAAACTAAACAATACAGGCAGCAATATTCTAGAGAGAAGATTCAAATCCGATCTTTAACACATGTCATGTTTAGTGTTATCTTTATTTCACCATGGTTTTTTTCAGCTTTGTTGTTTTTAATGTATTCACTGAACATTCTATATTTACATGCTGTATGCATGACTGCAGTGATGGATTATGTGTTGTATGATTCACAGGTCGCCTGTGCACTGATTGCGTCAGGAGAAAATTTGGACAATTTTGGCGATGTGAAGAACATTCTTGTTGGAATGGGAACCTATTTCCAAGTTCAGGTGGCTCATCTTTTATAGGTTTTTTCCTGATATTTCCTTTCTATTGGATTCGTTGATGTAAGAATATGATCTCAGTGTGAGCGATATGGTTCTTTCTTCTAGGATGATTACCTCGATTGCTTTGGGGATCCTGAGGTGATTGGTAAGGTAAATTTTGGGCATATTACTTTCTGTTATCAACTTGAAATGAAAATTCAAGGGTAATATCATTTCCGCATATGATATTGTACAATAATGATGAAATTTGTCACCACTTGATCAGATTGGAACAGATATTGAAGATTTCAAGTGTTCTTGGTTGATAGTGCAAGCCCTTCAATATGCTGAGGAGAACCAAACCCAGATCTTAAATGTATGCATGTTAAATTTTATAGGCCCTCTCTGATTTCCGTCCTGCATAATGGATTTCTTGGATTTACTTATTTCTGCAATGTTTTCACAGGAAAATTATGGTAAGAGCGATCCATCCTGTGTCGCCAAAGTGAAAGCCATATATAATGAACTCCAACTTCAGGTTTGCATTTTTGTCTTTCTTTTGGGATTACAGGTACGTTTTTGTGCAATGAGGTAGAGCATTTCGACGATTTATGCATGAGTTACAAGATATATATGGGTTTTAAAGTCTTAGGCAAATTCATGTTCTTATGCATTAGAAGGAACTACGGTAATAGGCACTTTACACTTTTACATATTGAGATATGTTTTTTGGATTTAGATCCATGAATAATTTGTCCGTGTTAAAACCCAATTGTTACCAAGAAGTTGAAGTAGAAAACATAGTCATTAGAAAGTAGTCATTAGAAAGTAATGGTAAAACCTAACCAACTTTTAAGACTGATTTTTATATAAAATAGCTTGGCATGTTAATTTAGATGCTCTAATCAGTTATTTGGTAATATATTACTTGTCACTGAGCTAGTGAGTCCATTAAGCTCGTCTTACCCATTTTTATATAAAATAGCTTGGCATGTTAATTTAGATGCTCTAATGAGTTATTTGGTAATACATTACTTGTCACTGAGCTAGTGAGTCCATTAAGCTCGTCTTACCCACTGGAAGAGAAGATGTCTGCTGCACTTTAATACATTGTCAGAGTTATTTGGTAATACATTACTTGTCACTGAGCTAGTGAGTCCATTAAGCTCGTCTTACCCACTGGAAGAGAAGATGTCTGCTGCACTTTAATACATTGTCAGAGTGTTTTTCCTATGCCTTTAGATCTGAGTGAGTTTTTTTAACGTAGCACATGCAGTTACGAAATTGACAATCTCTCTCTCCCCTCTTTCTGAGAATTACTTTTAAGTTTCCTCTATATTTGTTTCATGTTCTTCATTTCTATTTTTATTTTTTGTTGCAGAAAGTATTTGCTGAATATGAGCGCAGTAGTTATGAGCAGCTTATTGCATCCATTGAAGCTCAGCCAAGCAAGGCAGTGCAGGAGGTCTTGAAATCTTTCTTAGGAAAGATCTATAGGAGGCAGAAGTAGAAGTTGATGATATGAAAAATTCTGAAAATAATTTGAAGTCAGAAAGGGAGAAATATGAATTCGTGTTTCTCTTGTTTCCACTTTCCAGTGATTGGATTGCAACCTGTATTATGGTGTATTAGTGGCCCTTTTGTCTTTGCAATTTCCATGGAAAAACCCTTTCTAATTGCCGTATGAGGTTATGAAACTTGGCTCCAGTGTTTCACTATGGTGGCAAATTTTGGCATATAAAACACTATGGTGGCAAATTTTGGCATATTTTTTGGGGGTATTTCTAATCTATTTAACTGGAATTTTGGAAAATTTATTAGAAAATCATATTTTAATCGTCGTAAACGGTGTTTTAGAACCTGGACCACTGACCAAACAGGGCTTCCTCCGGTTTTGAATTGAATTGGGAAACTAGATCACAATTGGTTGGTTATTGGGGGGGATTGTCTATAGATAGACTATTTATCTTTTATACAAAGAGGTCACAACTATTCTCACTCATTAGATTCCCACTCACTAGTTGTTAAGTTAAATTGTTTGGAGTGAGTTACCAAATTCGAAGAATTTTTTTGGAACTTTATGTCTAATCAAACACTTTTACAATCACCCATTTCAAAATTTAAAAAACAAGAAAGATTGTGACATCTTTGTATAAAAGATAAATGATCTTTTTGTAAAAATAAGTAAAAAAAAAATGAACCGGTGGGATCCCTATGAGTCTTGGGGCTATGTAGACTTGGACTACCGACCCATTGGTTTCGACCTAGCTAAGGTGGTTCAAATTGGCTCACCGGTTTTTTGATACTCTACTTGTGTACTACAGTGTATTATACAATCAAGTTCTTGTACATTCTGAAATAGCAGATGCTTGGTCTGCTAATAGTTTCCTGAAGGAAGCAAAAGAACAGTTAATATCGACCACATCCGTTACTGAGTTGGGTGGGAGATTATATATACAGTAAAATACTATTCGTAAATTGCGAGAGATATGTATATATATACAGTAAAATACTACTTGTATATTGCGAGAGAGATGTATACATACTTATTAAGCATGAAGTTTCTGTAAGGCTTAGGTTTTATGGCAACAAAATAAAGTCTCACCTCAAATCCTCGTCTGAAAAGTACTTTCGGCAACGGAAATCTCCACTCTAAAATCTTTCAACATCGACAATAAACTTTGATACTCAAAAAGTGTTATAAATCTTATGGAACTCTGAACACCTGTTTTTAGGGTGAAATCAATGGTTTTTATAATTTGTTACAATATATACTATTTTTAGAGTGTGAACTCTTAATATTTTTCACAACCGTAATGTTCAAGCCGAGATGATCGATGTAAAGTTTTTTCCATGTTTGAATTGCAATTTTCAATAAGTCATGAAAAGAAAATTTATTTATTTTGAAAGGGGTACTACACACATAAATGGAGGAGGGTCCTATATAAATGGGGGAGGGTCCTATACGATCATTACTCTTGAAAAAATAAGTAGAGGTTGTCTTCTCCATCTGAATTACCCAAATTATCCTCTCTCTCTCTCTCTCTCAAAACCACCAGAGTTGTTATTATCTTGATTCTCTTGTTAATTTTACTTTTATTCAATAGACCAAAAGCATCAATTGGCTCTCTTTCGTGCCTACATTAATTCACCTCTCACTTTAGGGATTGCAAGGAGCCAGCCCTGGGCCCGGGTTGCCTCGGGCTCTGGCTTGGATCCGTGAAGGCCTACCTCAGGCCAGGCTGCTGCCCTGGAATTGGAGGTCTGGCCTAGGTCTAGTTTGATTTGGGCCGGATGGGGCCTGGCCGGGCTTTAGGGAAAAACAATGAAAAATCAGGGCTGGCTATCCAGGCCCTGCCTGGTCCAAGTTGGCAGCGCAAGCCGGGCTTTCCGGCCAAAATTTGTGCCCTAGGTCTGGACCGGTGGATGACCCAACTCCAACCACAAAAGCATTTCCGTCTCGCTTTTCTCTGTACCCCTTTGTCTACTTCTTTTTGTCTACATGTCACCACCTGAGCTTTAGTTATCAATCTAAGTTTTCATTCTCACAAACGCATAAAAAATTCACTAACTGGCATGTAGTTTTCACTGATCTTTAATAAAAAAAGAAAAAGGAAAAAAGAAAAAAAAAAAAGGAATTGTGTTCATTTTCCCCTTCTCCCTCTCTCTCTAAACATTCACGCTCGCTCTCTCTCTTTCTGACGTCGTCTTTGACTGTTTTAGAGGGTATCATTAGACTTGTCCCATGAGCATTTGAAGGAGTCTCGTCTCTTTTCTAATCCACACTTTCCTCCATCTTTCTTAGAATCAGCCAAAGTCACTCTCGGGTCCTTGGAAGCCACCCGAGAACAAAATTTCATTATGGAAGCCACCCGAGAACAAAATTTCATTACAAATTCTTTGATTACTGTTGAGAATGGATTGAAAATATGCCTTAACTTACCTTTATTTTTTCTCAAGATTTCCTAAATAATCAAATGACATGAAACAGTGGATTTATGATTGATTTCTTTATTCCCTCCATTGGTATGTTAAAAAAGAATATTGAGTTGACCAACGTTCGTTTGAGCCATTGGAGGAGAAGGAGAAAAAATTAAATAGTTAGAATTGTGCATTACATTTTTTTTCCTTTTTTTTTTTTTTGAAAAAGGTGATGTTTCGACTGATCTAACATCTTCAAATCATCTAGGCGCTCTAAATAAAAAATAGATATCTACGAGAAATGTGATATAAAATGTGTCTGCGACTCTCACCCATCCAAATCATCATTTGTCTTCAAAATGAGCCTTTTGGCTTACACTATTTCATATCCGCTCACAAAATCTTTATCCTTTGTTTACTAACTTGAAACTGCTCAAAATGTTGGAAGAGAACTCTATATTTTCTTTTAGTGAAAGGTGGATGCTTGTAAATATGATAAATATGAGGTCAACAAAATGAAGATGAATAAGGAACGGGTCAAGTTTCTTTTTTGCACCTTCCTAGAGAGATTAAGAATTTGCTTTACAACACCACAATACTTGCACTGACGTGGAACCTTCCCTGTCTCTCACACATATTCATGAGACAAGTGTATATACATGTGGTGTATATGCTCAGGTCAATCAACCTCAAAAAAATATTTCTTTTAAAAATCATCCCACTTAAGTATTTTCTCTATTATTTTGTTAATAAATGCCCAAAAGACTAGTGTTGTGAGTTTCTTGTGAGTTTGAAATTCCATATAAGGGAGGACATTTTGAATTTTGTAAATAGGGGCCACTTAGGTTATTCGAGTCAAATGAGAGAACATGTTCTGAGTTTTAAATTATGAAAATATTTTAAAAAATCTTTTTTTTGGATTGGAGTCCAAAACAAGTAAAGGGTATTTACGCTTTTTGGGTCCTGACTTAGGTAGGGTTAAATTATCAAAATTATTCCATTTGTTTTAGGTTTAAAATATAAATAAGATTTTTAAATTGAAAATTCATGTGAAAACAAGAGTAAGCATGGCTACTTAAGTCATTTAACACTCTTGTTTTAATTGGCTAAAACTACCAAAATATCCTCAAAGGTCCTAATCTAAAACAGGGACAATTTGGGATCCAAGAAATAATGTCGTTAGAATGAATTGATTTATCGACAAGAGGTCGTTTCTCTATAAAAATCATTTGACTTAGGTAACTTATTAGAAAATGCCCAAATTGTCAATAACCGTGCTTTTTTTGGGTTTAAATTTTTGAACATGTTTTCTATCAACAATTTTATTCTGGGTTTGCAAATTGGAATAATTAGGGTATGCCTCTTTTGGCTGGTGTGACTTAGGGCCAAATTACAAAAATACTCCACTTATTCTCAGTCCCAATCCTAAACATGGTTTTTAAATTAAAAAAAAACATGTTTCCAACTTTTTAATGCAAAACAAGCATAGATGTTCAAGTCATTTAGCTCAAGTGTAAGACGTAAGTGGCTCAAATTACCAAACAACTCACTTATTCAGGGGCCAAACTTGAAACAAAGTGAGTTTGGTGTATAGACAAAAAATGCAGTGGTTAAATTATTTTGGTGTATAATATTGATCTTCAAAATCTGAAACATGTTTACACGGAAAAAAAAAGAAAAAAGATCTTAGTTTTGCACCTTCAAGTTCGAAATAGGAGCAACTTAATCAAAAATTTTAAAAAAGGACGACCGTGAAAACAAAAAATCTATGACGAAGGAGGGATCTTTCAAGTAACAGGAATTAAGAGGGGACACATAAATTTCCATATGAAACAGGTAAGTTTTTCATGTAGTATAAGTGATTTAGCCGATTCCAACTCAGATTGACGATTTTTAAATTAGTGACTACAATTGATGAGGGGCTCGGTACCATACACTTTCAAAGCCGAGACAGACAAGGGGATATGACATTGTACATTTTCAAATCCTAGCGAGAGAATGCCAGCGCATCAAAACTGTTGCTTTCGAAAATAATTTAAAGGGCAAACCCTATCAATTTTTTTTGAGATTGTATGTAATCGTATTATTTACCTTTAGTTCGAGGAGGTTTCAATTATTTAATTAAATGTACCATAAAATTTGAAATTTTTTTTTTTTAACTTTAAATTTAATCAATGAAATTATTTAATTTTACATCCGACAGTCTAAATCAATTATCATCTTCGTATACCAAAAATAAATGTTTTTATTATAATTTATTTTTATTTTTACAAATATACACCAATAATGAAAAGTGACTTTGTGATTTGGCAGAAGTAAAGGGTCTTTGACATTTCTCCAATCATTATCCTTTTCTTTGATTAATCCAGTTTAATACGTCGTAACTTAACTATCCAATCCACAAAACAGGATCTGAAACTGTTCAATGACAAGTACTCTTGACTCTCTACGCGTTTTCTCTCTCTTCATCAATCGACGTCAGAGCCCCGATTTTCCGCCCTCTCGGTCTTCTTTTTGCGCTTCCGTTTCATGTCTGCACTCCCCTCTCTCTCTCTCTCTAGAATTCGTTGCTCCTTTCTAACTCTAATCCGCTTCGTTTTCTCTCTCTAAAACTGCTACTCTTTTATCTGGTTCTTTCTCTCTCCACAACTCTGGTTTCTTTCTCACATTGCAAATTGGTTTTCTCACTTCTCTTAGGTTCGAACTCTGGTTAATTAACTAAAAGGGAGAAATTTGATGAAAATTGTTTCTTTTTTTGTGTTATTTCTGCATTTATTTATTTGTAAAATTTTGACTTTTTTTTTAAGAGGAAGCTGAGTTTTTTCCGTGTTCTTATCTGCTTTGATTATCTGTATTTTCCTGCAAACGTTGTGTGCTTGTGTTCTGGGACTGGTTAAAACTGGAGATCACTTTTTACTCTTTCATTGCAATTTTAAAGATTTTTTTATTTCATTTGCTCACTGTTGAAGCAAAGGGTTTTATCAGTCAAGCATCTTTTTCAAGAATCAATTTTTTTCTCCTAAAAATTTGTAAACTTGAGAGAGAGAGAGGGAGAGCACCCAACTGATCTTTGTAAGCAAGGGTTTTCTCCTACATATACAAACCAATTTATTGCTTCCCTTTACACTTCATTATCAGAAGTTCTTACCAAATTTGCTCCTTTTTTTCATTTTTGGGAAGAATTTCGTTTTTTTTTTTAATTCAAAACCCGCAACAATCTAGTCCAAAATGAAGCTCTCTGTTTATGTAATTGAAGCAAGAGGCTTGCTTGCAAAGGATCTGAATGGTTTCAGTGATCCTTATGTGAAAATTCAGCTTGGAAGATGCAAGTACAGAACAAAGGTTGTGAAGAAAAACTTAAATCCATCATGGAATGAGGAATTTAGTTTCAGAGTTGAGGATTTGAAGGAGGAATTGAACATATATGTATTGGATGAAGATAAGTACTTCAATGATGATTTCATAGGAATGGTCACGGTGCCTGTATCGATGGTTTTTGATGCAGATAAGAAGACTTTGGCTTCTCGGTGGTTCACTCTGCAACCCAAGAACAAGAAGTCCAAGAACAAAGACTGTGGTATTACCTGCTTTTCTGATCCTTTTTTCCTTTTTCTTTTCTTAATTAGAATTAGGACGAACTGGATATACAGATTTATTTGGTGATGGTTGATTTCTCCAAATTTTTATTTTTGAATTTATTGGTATTAGAAGGAAGTGATTGGAGAAGAATTTGGGACTTTTTGATTCCTCCATTTTCTTATTCAATTGATTGGCTCTAGAGGTGAAAATGGTGACTGTGGTTGAATTAATTTCTTTTACTTTTTGGGTTACTTTATATCATTTCTTTGAGGCTCTAAGTTGTTATTTTCTATTCCTTCCGGTTGCTTATATAGGACTTCTCTAAGGAGTGGAGGTTGTGTTATTCATGCTATTGATTTACTAGAAAAAATGAGGAATTGTTGTTTGTTTTCTTACTTCTGGTTAGGAATAAAAAGCTGAAGAACATAGAATGGTGAAACTTGCTATCTTCCCTCTTTCTTACGATGGTTTTATAGATAAGAAGGAAGTAAATATAGACTGTGGTGTGGCTTTTATGTGTTAGATTTATTTAAGATGTTCTTCTATTCTTTAGGGGGGACATTGTGCTATAAATGTTATTGATTTATGAGGGAAAAAAAAATTGATGAATGGATCTTTGGTTTCTTTGAGTGGTTAAGAAGCCTAGTAGTAGAGACTGTAGTATGATTCAATTTCTAGTCCTTTTTCTTCATGTCATAAATTTGTTTGAGATATATGGGGACTGTTGTTGTGATGGCCTCTACTCTATCTTTTTTGAATCTGAATCCTGCTTGAGAAGCTGACTTGGTTTCCAAAACACAAACATTTTAGCCTTATGAGATATAATACCAGGGAAAAAAGCCTTTGGATATGGACGAGTCTTTAGGAAATCAGCCATTATCCTAGCTTGCTTGAAGGTTAATTCATTTAGGAAGATGAATAGAAGGGAAAAAAAACAAATGCATATTGGGAAAAGCCTTGGTATGTGCATCGAGTCTTTAGATAATCACCCTATATCTTAGCTTGCTTGAAGGGGAGATAACCTGGGGCAATGAGTAAAAAGCAGAGGAAAACGCACAAATGTGTAGGGTCCTTTGACAATTATATGCTATGCTGGACTGGCCCTTCCCTTGAGAATAAGAAAACTGAGCTCTAAAGAGATGGAGAAAACACTTGGGGTCTCCTTTCTTGAAAGAGATTCACACATCCTATGAATGCATGGATAATGCATCTTTGAAAAAAAACTTTGGAAGAGTTAGTTGATGTAACAATGAAAGAGGTCGAAGGATGACAGTATAAATTTTAGATTCATTCCAGATTCAAAAGACTTGAGAAGAAGTCTTTAGATAAGGTGAAACCCTCTCAGGTATTTAGCTTTTATTTATTTTTATTTTTTTAATTTTTTGACCTGTTAATGGGCCTGCAATGGAACCCTTGAAGTCATGTTGTGGCTCTGCCACCCTGATTACCCAGATCTAGGGCTCGTTTCACCTTTTATTTTTGAAATGATAAAGGGATTTATGGTAGATCAAATCACTCCAATATAATGTAAAATTGAAAGACGTACAAAGGCTCAACATAAAAGTTACACACAAGCAAAGGCTATTACCACAAAGAGAAAAAGGCAAGCAAAGGCTAAATAGTGAAGTATATCATACCATCAATACTCATAGCTCATGACTGAAAGACTCGGTTCTCATCCTTTTGTGTATGAAAATAATCAAGTATAGTAACTGTGTAATAATTAAACTTTCATATCCTTTTGGTTGGGTCATTGAGAGGAAAATGGCCTAACACTCAAATATACCTTGCAGGGAGTTTCAGGCTTCTTGAAGGTTTAAATGGGCTTTGGAGGACTTTAGACATTTTCCTGGTTTTCTTATTTCTTTTAAAAGCTCTTAGAATCTGTTGGTTAGCTTTAAAAATACTTGACTGATTAATACTCTATTTTTTTTCGAAAAGGTATGTAAAATAGGCAGACACCTGTTGTTTGCTAATAAATGGCCAGTTTTATTGTCCTTAAATTTCCTACAGTATGTCTATAAACACATGTGCAGCATTCACACCCATGAGCTTTGATGTTCTTACCTCAAGTGTTTTCACCATCGTTTCTTGGTTATGTAATTTGTTAAGAATATTTCTTTTGTGGGAAAAGAGTTTTTGACATATTGAATGAATTTAAGTGGCATTTTGTGTTTCTGCAGGTGAAATTCTTCTAACTATATCTTTATATGGCAAAAGTCCCAGCAACTCTGTTCTAAACTATATTCCAACAACTCCAAAATCCCTAGACAGTGATAGTGCTCTCTACTCTGATAAACCAATTGACCCACTTTCAGATTCAACTTCCTTTTCACCAAATGTCTCTGTAACTTCAACAGTGGAAAGAGAAGAACTGTTGCCCTCTAAGGAAGAGAAACCAAGCGTACAAACCTTTGCGAGCCGGCTGGTTCAGTTTCTTGGGACTAAGAATACAGAAATCCCGGTCACTTCCTCCAAAGATCTTAATATATCAGATTTACCTGATACATTATCCAATAACAGGACTTCTGAGAACAACTCTGGGGACCAACCCACATTTGAAGAAGCACTGAACATCATACAATCAAAAGAGAAAATGCCTGAAATGCCCCCCAATTTACCAGGAGGTGTTGTTCTAGACCAAACTTACGTAATATCCCCCAAAGACCTCAATCTTCTTCTTTTTGCCCCTGACTGTGAGTTCATGAAATCTCTTGCTGAAGTCCAAGGAAACACGGATGTGCAAGAAGGGTCTTGGAGGATGGAAAATGAAGCACTAAAAAGAGTAGTTACCTGTACAAAACCCCCAAGTAGGTTGGTTAAGTCTGTGAAAGCAACAGAGGACCAGGTATATCTCAAAGCAGATGGGAAGACCTTTGCAATTTTAGCCAGTGTGAGCACACCTGATGTTCCTATGGGGAACTGTTTCAGAGCCGAGATTCTCTTTTGTATATCTCCAGGACCAGAGCTAAGTTGCGGGGAAGAATCTTCTCGATTGGTTATATCTTGGCGTATGAATTTTTTACAGAGCACAATGATGAAGGGTGTGATTGAGGGAGGAGCAAGACAAGGGATAAAGGATAGCTATGAGCAGTATGCAAGGTTGTTAGCAGAGAAAGTTAGGGTCTTGGACTCCTCTGGGTCTGAGAGGAATCAGGTTTTGGATTCTTTGCAGGTGGAGGAGATATCTGATTGGAAGCTGGCTGCTCTTTATTTTTGGAACTTTACCATGGTTTCAGCTGTGTTTATGGGGTTATATGTTCTTGTACACCTATTCCTTGTTATGCCTAGTCCAATTCAGGGGCTCGAGTTTGGTGGCATAGATTTGCCAGATTCAATTGGAGAGGTGATAGTTGGTGGGATTCTAGTTCTTCAGGCACAACGTGTTCTTGAGATGCTTTCACGTTTCATACAGGCTACAGCACAAAGAGGTATTTTTCCCTTATTTTTACTAATTAATTAATTGATTTTTGGTGAAGTATACTGTGATACATCTCCATCAGTATCCACATATTACTCCTTGTACTTCCATTTCACAATATTTTTCTAGTTACATAGGAATATGTATATACAAGTTTGTGAGCCTTAATGTAAACGATTCATGGGGGTTATCATCTATTGGCATTTTATTTTTTGAGATCGACCATTACAGTTCTTGTTTATAAATATTATAACTAATTCTAGATGGCCTTTCTGGCCTTCCTCAGGGAGTGATCATGGGATCAAAGCCCAAGGAGATGGGTGGTTGCTCACAGTTGCCTTGATCGAAGGGAAAAACTTAGCAGCAGTGGATTCTACTGGCTTCTCAGACCCGTATGTAGTTTTTACGTGCAATGGTAAAACGCGAACTAGCTCGATCAAATTCCAAACACTTGATCCCCAATGGAATGGTCAGTTGGCATATTGAGTTCTCTTCTTCTTCATCTTCTTCTTCTTCCTCTCTCCTCCTCCTCTCTCTCTCTCTCTCTCTCTCTCTCTCTCTATCTCTCTCTCTGTCTCTCTTTGAGTGAAGATTAATGTTGCTATTTCTGTAAAAACTTATTCACAGCTTTTGTCAAACGATGGCAGTCCACATGTTGTGCACTCTATGTATCAACACTTTATTTCCCCAAAAAAGGACGTGGAGCTCCATATATAGAAAAAGAGGAAAATTATAGGAAAATTGAGAAACCATAACCAAAACAGTAGAAACTGTATGCCCAAAACTGTTGGGCCATCACTCAAAAAGTTGCCAAGATGGTCCCATTAGAGCTTCCTGAGGCCACTGTCTTTGGCCAGCACATCAACCATGACTTTGGCCTCCTTCCATGCATGCTGAAAGGAAATATGAATAGGCCTCCACCATTTGAAATGTGGGGAAAAGAGATTCTTGAGTCGCCATGCATTGACGTTCATTGAGTCACCCTTTTTACCACAAGGGAGATACCCCATTCTGGATTAACTTATTTGATACCCTCGAGAGAGCAATAGTCTCCGTTGTAGTGGAGTCAGAAAAGCGAATGAATCCCCAAAAAGGAGATGAGTGTAATGTCTTGGTGGTCCTCGAAGATTCCACAGAAACTAGCCGGACCAGGGCTGCCCAGGTAGCAGCCTGGTCCACTGAAACCAGCCGGACCAATTGGCATATTGAGGTTCTCTCTGAATTAATATTTAATATTGGACTACTATATAGTTCAGTACCATTTCTATATGGAACAATGAGCTAATCACAAATTACACCTTGGATTGAAATTCTAGCTAGTTAGAGCTGAAATTTTGTTGACATGTGGTTTGTCTAAAGCTGAACTTGGGTTCGGTCCTGAAATTTGGCCAATGTTTGCTAAAACTTCAATTTGGATTTGGCATCTGGAATTTCGGCTACTTTCGGCTTTGAGTTAAATATCTTTTCGTTTTCTTAAGTGGAATTATTTTTGGTCTTGCTAAATTATCTTTGATGTATCATCTGAAATTTTTACCATGCTTTGCATTCTGGCTTTTTGTTGCCTTTTGCGTGCTCTTTTAACTTATTTAGTTTCACATGCTTGGATTTTTATGTTCTGAATATAAGTCCTCGAATGGTACTTATTGTGCATCTTTCATATTAGCGGTGCTCAACATTAAATGGTGAGACATACCAATTAGAAGAAAATGCTAAATGATAATAAATGCTACTAAAAAATTCTACAATAAATTGGAAGCAACCATTATTAAGTAGGTATTTCATTTTGCAGAGATATTTGCGTTTGATGCCATGGAGGAACCCCCATCTGTGATGGATGTTGAAGTTTTTGATTTTGATGGGCCATTCGATGAAGCTACATCTCTTGGACATCTTGAAATCAATTTTCTGAAGTGTTCTATAACTGAATTGGCAGACACATGGATTCCTCTTCAAGGGAAGTTGGCCCTAGCATACCAGTCAAAGTTGCACCTGAGGGTCTTCTTGGACAATACAAGAGGTACAGAGGTTGTCAAACAGTACATAACAAAGATAGAAGAAGCCGTAGGGAAAAAGGTACAGCTAATTTCTGGTTATAATAGACACATACATGATGGGGTAAGGCATTGCTGTATAATGTTTGGGTTTTGAGCTATAGTCCATTACAAATAATTTTCGGTCTTTTAGTGGTTCAGTTTACAACGCTTGTGTTGATGCTGTTGTTTACCCTGGTTCCTTGAAGATCCATATGAGATTTATATTTGCATACATTGTTTTTTGTATAGTTTGCATAGTTTGGATATTTAATTGGGGTTGTTTGGGATAAATGATTATTTAGGCTTCTAGATGTATTCAAAATTTAAAAATATATTCAAAATTAAAAAATTGTTAAAGTCCTTTACACACATTTTTTTTTCTGTCGTAGAATTATACAGCTCATTTTTCTTCTTGGTAAAAGTAAGGGTCTGTCTTTTAGAGTCATAGGATGTAGGTAGGGTAAGTAGAAACTAGCCTTAAGCAACTGTAAAGGTCTTGCATGCCTTTTTTTTTTTTTCTTTTTTTCTTTTTATTTCTCAGGAGTTAGTCTTGCATTGGTGTTTGATATATTTGACTGCACTTTTATTGTAAGATGGGGGTCCTTGGCCCACACAGTTGTAATATTATCTGTGTTTCCGAAAGGTGTTTGTAGTATTCTTTTGATCATAGATCAAAGTAAACCTCTCAAGCCACAATCTAACTGATGTGCAGATAAACATCCGATCGCCTCAAACAAATTTGGCATTTCAGAAACTTTTTGGGCTTCCCCCTGAAGAATTTCTGATCAATGATTTCACTTGTCACTTGAAGCGCAAGCTACCTATGCAGGTTCCCACTTATGTGTGTCTTGTTCTTTTCATTATCTCTTTGATAAATTCCTCTGTTCTCATTGATTTAGTTGTTTGATAAATCTCTTTGCTAAGGGTTTTTGTTTCTTTGATTAACCTCTGTTATTCAATTTTATATCTGGTAAGCTATGTTAGACTGAGATGCCATTGCATTTATTGCAGGGTCGCCTCTTTCTCTCTCCTAGAATGATTGGCTTTCATGCTAACTTGTTTGGACACAAAACCAAGTTTTTCTTTCTATGGGAGGATATAGAAGATCTACAAGTAGTCCCCCCTTCTCTGGCAACAGTCGGCAGTCCTTCTCTTCTTATAATTCTAAGGAGAGGCAGAGGTTCGGATGCCAAGCATGGTGCCAAGATGTTAGATGAAGAAGGGAGGTTGAGGTTTCATTTCCAATCATTTGTATCATTCCATGCAGCAAATAGGTATGGACTAGTTTGGTCACATTTTCTTACATTCTCTTGCAGGAAGTGATGCTTTCTGTCAAATTGATACGTGTTTCATATTTTCTAACGTATATTACAAGTAGAGTCTCTCCCTCTGCACCCCCCCTCCCTGCTCTCTCTCTCTCTCTCTCTCTCTCTCTCCTGGGTTTACCTTTTTCCAGACAATGAAAATATTTTTTTCTCTATTTCTGTTTGGTATTGAACTGTACCACCTTCTGATGAAGTCTCAGTTGAGTACCTTATATGTGCAACAGGACAATTACAGCATTATGGAAGGCTAGATCCTTGTCTCCCGAGCAGAAGGTGCAAATAGTGGAAGCAAATTCAGGACCCCTCCAAACTGAAGACAGTGGATGCGTCTTGGATCTAGAGGATGCCAAAATGTCAGAGGTGTACTCTAGATCACTCTCTGTTCCTGTAAGCTCTCTCTCTCTCTCTCTCTCTCTCTCTCTCTCTCTCTACTACTATACTATATATATATATATATATATATATATATATATATATATATATATATATATATATATATATATATAT